ATCGCTTTATTTGCATTTCTTTGCTATTTACTATATAAATTGATTTGTAAGAAACTTAAGAACAAATCGGAAAATAATCAAATTGAACTTAAAGAAACTTCAATTTTCAAATGAAATTACATCACTTTGATGATATAATTTCATCTAAGGCCGAAGGAGTTATGATATCCTATTTAGCCAACTTAACAAATTCACGATATTCTATTTCGCAGCCAAGCATAAGGAAATATCTAATTATGCTTACGAGGTACATAATGTTCTTTAGTTTCACAGATAGCATGTACACTCATCAGCATTAATTCAGTATATATTCTCACAAGCCTGTAATAACCAACAGTTGTATCTTGAAGCTGAAATCCATATCAATCGAAATAAAAATTGTTTTAAAAACTCCCTTTCCAAGAAAGTGATTTTAACTCACTCCAATTTTTTTGGGGTTTTGTATTCTGAAATATTGATAACAAATCGAACAGCGTTAATTCCTAAAGTGAAACCTGTTTGCCCACTTTAATAACTACATGTTGGGGGATTAAAGTACTACGGACCGCAAACTTTTTTTCATAATGTAAGGCTGCTCTTCGAAATATAAAGTCAAACACCCTGTATATTTCAAAAAGACTCCATATATTTATTCGACGAAAACTATTTTTAACAACATAATTTCAATCAACAATTTGCTTTCAACTTAACTACTTGATTATTGAGTTACTAGTACTAGTTAAATAGCAAACATTTGAGCATACCTTAGCAAAAGGTGTGCCTACTAATCTGGCACCCAAAGGAATGTGCACTCGAATAAAATCTCCATCACACCGAAGATATACATATCACATTTTACACGAGTTTCAATTCCACAAAAAAATAAAATTACTTTAAACTAGCATATTTTGCATACATAGCAATATCAGCCCTTTCAGGGATTTTAGGTCCATATTTACCAAGGGCTACATAATTCTGATAAATCTCAATAGACTTTTGGTTCACGATAGGTGGTTTGACTTCATAAGCATCGTCTTTCAAGAAGCAAGACACTGGCTTAATGCCCGTTTTATTGGATAAAAATGCACTATGTGCAGTGCCATTTGCTCTTTTTCCAGTCAAAACATATCTGAAACAACATGATTCAATGTTCAAACTTTTTACCCAATAAAATTATTAAAATTATAGATTTAGTTTTGTTTTAGCAACAAACTGATTAAATGCTTACTTTTTATATATCAAAATATCTTCACGAGAAGGTTTTTTAATTTGAAAACCATAAACCTCTTCTGTTGAAGGGAACAGATACTTAAATGTTATGGGCTCAGGAGTTGAATCCTTTGAAAAAGTATCACGTGTTGCATCTGAATTCAAACTATCTTCATCTCCTGATGAGTCCTCATCGCTACTTGAGCTGAATAATTAATCGTACTTACAATGGCTCACAGGTGTTGTATTATAAAGGATACGTAATCAAAAATAAATTTAAAAATATATATTACAAGGCATTACCGAGTATGTATATATGTAAGTATTATTAACTGTTATTTTTACCTTGTACTTGAGGCTGCTGAACTTGTAGAACTTTGGCCAGTTACAGAGGGATTTTTCGATGTATTTCCTTTTAGTAGAGTTTCCTCTCGCCTTTTATCAGGTCTTGCTCTTACAGCAAAAGGACTATAATTTACTGTGCAAATAGGCATAAAATCAACTGTACTACTTAGTTTAATAGCAAATACTTCGGATAGAACGTTAAACTCATTTGGCCTACAAAGTTAAATAGATGTGCAAGGTAAAATACCATAAACTGGGAAATGCTTTACCAAACTGAAAACTGGTCTAAAAATGTCCTTATGTTCAATAGCATAAACAAATCACGAATCAATCTCTTATTAAGCCATAATTAATATTGCATTTGTTCCGCCATATTATTTAATTAAAATTGTGTTTATATCAAGTGAAATGCGAAATAATTGAAAAATACGAACAAATCAATAACGTTTGTCTAATTGAAGAATTTGATGCAAGAAGGGAATATATGAAATTTAAAAAAATTATATTATTCTGCCTATAGGTAACAGAATATATTCTTTCACTTGGCTGCAAAACTGGTAATTGTGCTATGAATAGCTACCGAATTATAAGCGAGAAAGTAAGCCTTGAGTAACATTAAAATTTTTTTTTTTCCTCTCCCGTAAATGCTAATAAATGTTACTTATAGCCTTCTTGCATTAGGTTCTTCACTTACTATTACCTGTAAAAATCAACATAAGAGTCAATCATTTCCACGTCATTCGAGTGAACCTGCACTAATTCGAAACAGGCTTTAGTGACATCGTTGTATGCATAAGGGAGACAACCATAGACTCCAGGTTCCCACCATTGAGTTAACGACTTCAAGCTAAATATATTCGGCTTATGATGGAAATAATAATCGCTGGCGAATTCCCAAATCTGCGCTTGATTTTCCGAAGGTTTGAACAATCCCAGAAACAGATTAATGGCGTTTTGTTTTTCCGCATCAGAAAACGTATTACTGTAATATCGACTAAGAGTCTGCATTATATCGTTTCCCTGTGACGTCCAAGGAGCGGTTTTTCTGTAAGTTTTGATTCTGTGAACCAACTGCGAGCCTCCGTATTGCAATGCTAAAGTATCGCCGTGATCTTCGTACAAAGATTCTAACATTCGGACACAGTCCGTGTCGAATTCTAAGTTAGGAGTATCCAATACTCCCAGAGCGCAAAGTTGATAACCTAGCGCACACTTTCCTGCAAAAACAACAGCTCAAAACTGGATCGCAGACGCTCATACAATCAAACCTATTGCAAATTGGGCGGTATTCGTTCTATCCAAACAATCCACACAGTTTGTTCTGACAATCCCTGTTTGCCTACCGCTGACTTGCTTTTCAGTCTTCCCAATTACTGTGCTGGGTTTTTGCGTAAAATAGGTTCGCTGATTGTGAAAAATTCCCACTTTTGTTACGGCATTCTTCGCTATTCCTGCTAACTGCTCCATAACGTTCGAATTGCTCTTGTTCTTGCGCGCCATATCAAAGGTCTTGTAAACAATCTGATGTTCAACAGGTAGGAATTGATTCAAATATTTAACGGCAGTGCTTAACTCGTCGCTTAACATTGACTCCTGTGGTTTTCGTTCTCTTTTCTTAACCAAATTGAGAATCACTATTGGCGCGCCATATCTTTTCAGAAGCTCATTGAAATGAGCACCAGAGGTCTCGGCGAATGGATCATAAAAATCTATTGTAATTGCTGGTTTTCCTACCATTTTTCCCATATCCTGTTTCCAATGGCCTGAATGGTTTAAATAAATATTCATAATTTCGTGGTTCATTACCAAGGCTTCACGAAACACTTGTAATTTTAATCAAATCAAGCAGTAGGTAAATGTTAAAAGTTAGCTCATGTAGCTGAGCCAAAGAACGACATATAAATTCCGCTCATTTTGATTACTTAAAACCAACTCTAACAATATGTATATTACCTGGAATAGAGCCCCTCATTTGGACAAATGAAGTAAAATGGCCTGAATTTAAAGAGGACACTGCAGAGTCATACACGATTTGTTCTGTTTCCACCTCATTAGCCACATCTCCTTGAAAATTTGAGCCTCGTTTAAGAAATCTAGTTCCTGCATATTTGCTGGACCTGAAAATGCCTATAGGTCAAACAATTTAACATGCGAATAACTGACGAAGTAACCATAATAACATGACTACTATTATACCTTCTGGCTATTAGCGTTAAATATAACGGTCTTCCGAATACATTGATATTGCTCTGACTTACAAATCCGTGTGTAATGAAGAGAATCCAGTTTGGATGCAGATCAGCTTTCAATTCTACATAAAGAAAACGTATCTAATATGTTACTTGCGATATGTAATGTAAGCGATGAGTACCTTCATTTAGTAAATGTAAATTCCACACAAATTTCTTATGGGGATAGGTTCGAATGCCAAAATGTTGAGTCTCTTTACAATCGTTCGCACTGCCTTGGGAGATCACCGACTGTGTTAGGAGTTTAGTATAATCACCAGATTCGAGGTCAACTTGATTCGGTTCCAAATTGAGATCGCGGGCTACAAATTGCTTTGGTTCGGTTAAGTTGTGTTGTAAACTGTGCGTTAAATCGTAACTATAACTGAAATTAAGAACATCATTTATTACCTAGTTGATGATTTGAAAGAGTCAAATTACTACCTGAAATAAAAGTTGCTTGCCAAGTCGATACTTTGAAACATTTTTAAATATCGAGATTCGTCAGGATGATTTATTCTAACAGAATCGTGCGGGATATATATCATGATAGTGTCTTCAATTTTATACAAAGTGTGATGACCGATTACCGCTACCTTCCTGCGTTTTGTTATTAAAATTATGTAATATCCTTCTAAAAACTGGATGAAACCTAACAAATATAAGCATTTTAAGTTAGAGGCATTTTTCGCAAATAAGATAAAATTATCTCACCAACAATCCCGAACGCAGAAATATACCTGGTAATTCCACTGGCTCCAGCTTTACGATTTCCAGACTCAATCATGCTAACCAGGTCTCTTATTTCTTCGGCTGAATATTCCACTTTATCATCGTAAATATCT